GATAGTATTTTTTTAAACTATCGAAACTAACGTGTGGTCTGACTATCGATAGTTTTGTAACTCTGCCACTGACCAGATAATATTTCCATTTTACTTTGGGGCCATTGGGGTTACACGTAAAGGTGACAAATAACTCCAGCCTCCTAAATTTCGGACATGGCATCTTGCGTGAATGAAGATGGCAAGATTACGCGTTGGCCAATATTTCATGGTTTTACACTTGCATATTGATTTAAAGCGTCTCTGAGAAGAATGTATTTGTCAGTCCTCAGTCTCTGTTGATTACGATATATGTAATTCAATCCTTCTGATATCATTTTTGCCATCATTTCGACAATAAATAATAATAATAATACTCAGTTTAAATGCAAAAAATTGCAAACATTAAGTAATACTGTAGAGGAATAAACGATCGGTGTAATTCAAAGACCCTTTTAATTGGGCCGCCTCTACCATGCAGTACTAAATCTTTTGATCCATTTTTTTCGTTAATGAAGAGAGCTACGATAGCTGATCTGCGTCGACATATGAAATATATTTGCAAGTATTGCGGACTTTGTTTCTATTTTAAAAGATTTAAATGTACAGATAGTACATGATTATTTGTTAAAATATTTTTTATTGGCTGAGGCAGCTCTTGCATATTCGGGAGATTTACTTTTCCCGAAGCACTACACATACCATTAGGATCATCGGCTTATTTCCGTTCGCAGCAACTCGGAGTGACGTATGGAATAACTTGGCGCATTTTACATTGATATTGTAAATTGAAAGCGTACAAAATACTGCTTGTGCAAGAACTGAAGCCGCTCGACCTTCCCAAGCGACATCGCTGCGCTCTATGGGCTCTTGAAAAGTTCCAAGATGATCCGACGTTTTCGAGCCAAATTTTGGTCAGCGATGAGACCAATTTTTGGACCAATGGGTATGTCAACAAGTAAAATATGCCGAATTTGCGACGAAGAGCAACCTTAAGAGATTCAAGAGCTGCCATTTCATTCAGAAAAAGCAACGGTTTGGTGTGGTTTGTGGATCGGTGGAATAATTAGTCCATATTTTTTCAAAAATGATGCCTGTGGCGACGCTTATTACGCTATGATAACCGACTAATTAATGCCTAAAATTGAAACTCGTGGTCTTGGCCACATTTGGTTTCAACAAGACGGCGCCACTTCCCACACATCGCATCTATCGCTGGATTAATTGAGAATTCGATTAGCTGATAATTTCACGATTTGAGACGGTCGATTGGCCACCAAGATCGTGTGATATCACACCGTTAGACTTTTTCCTGTGGAGATATATAAAGTCTAAAGTCTATGTAGACAATCCCGCTTCGATTCAGGCCTTGAAGTAAAACAGCACGAGTGTCATCCTCCAATTACCAGTCGAAATGCTAGAACGAGTTATTGAAAATTGGACGGATTAATGCCCAAGAATGTGCTTTCGAATGATAATAAACATTCCTCTTTAAATTTGAATTTTCTTTAAAAAAAAGAGATCCTCGAAATGGATCATCCTATATTATATGTAAACAAGCTATCAGTTAATGATAAGCTTTGTCTGTCCCTATCCCTATGTATGCTTAAATCTTAAAACCACTCAAACGATTTTGATGCGGTTGTTTTGAATAGATAGAGTGATTGAAGTGGATGATTTTTATGTATAATAACATCCAATAAATAGTCGAGAAATAGTGTTATTTTTGATGTTTTAGAGGCCGCGGTTCTTCCTATAGCACAGCGATCGAATGCGTTTAATATATATAGCTATAGTATAAAGATCTTGGTTAGAATTTAGAGTTAGATCGATTAATTTTTAGGGAAATTATTTTCAAAAATCGTAATTTAAGGTGAGGTATGTAAGTTCAAAAAAAGAACTTAATACAAGTAGAATAGGTATATAATATTATATATTGATTTGGTCGCTTTGTTGACCTTGCTGCCTCGATTCACAGCCGTTGAGTATTTCTTTGGATGACAGTTTATGATGACACAGCGTTTGGTTTCTTACTAATACGGCTTATGTGATCAGTTTATTATGCGGGAATATACACCCGTCTTACAATTTTTTTTTTATTAAGGATCTAAATCGGACTACAACCACGCCTATTTCCCATATAACACCATTTTCAGTTCCATCTGATTCTTTCACTTTCCATTATGCATATCAAGCAACAATAATTATATCGGGGTAAAACTTTGCGTGAATAATACGTTTAATGTATGCCACCTTGTGACCAAAAATTGTCTAAATCGAAATAAAAATGGTTAAAGCCCCTAATTACTAAATATGTGGACCCCAGTGCCTATAGTTGACCTTCTACCGAAAATATCAGCCAATCCACAAAGAAATCTCAAACGAGTATACCATTTGACTTTGCGAGAGTATAAAATGTTCGGTTACATCCGAACTTAGCCCTTCCTTACTTGTTCGAAGTTATGTTTTTCAATGTTCCCTCATCTGGAATTAAAAATTAGTACACAAAAATATTTGATTTAACATTTGCGCCTTCTCTATTCATTAACATTCTCTGGCAAAATGAATGCAAGTCAATGATCGGGTTTTGTCCAGTTAGTTTTGAGTGAGCAACCACATGGCGCAATCGCAAGACACTTGCTTGCAGTGATTGTTTTGCGTATTGTTCCTAAAAATGCTGGCTTTCTGTAAATGATGTTGTTCGGAGTTAAACGGAGTCACTTGATGTTGTTGAGAGCTAAATGGAGTTAGAGTGTGATCACCCTGATTTAAACCATAAAATATTATATATTAAAGTATAAAATCAATGTAAGGAATTTGTATACTCTTGCAACATATTGCTACAGAGTATTATTGTTTTGTTCACCTTAATGGCTATAAGTATCACCTAAAAATAATCGAGTAAGATATAGAGTTAAATACCATATATATGAATGATCAGTAGCATGAGATGAGTTGAAATCCGAGTGACTGTCTGTCTGTCCGTCCGTGCAAGCGATAAATTGAGTTAAAATTAAGACACCTTAATGAAACTTTGTACACGTGTTGCTTGACAAAAAAGTGAGGACGAGTTTTTAGAAGGGCGTAATTGGACCACTAGGACGAAAATTAAGATACAAAACCGTAATAACACGGTACAACGAATCGAAATAATGAGGAGTACCTGTGGGTTGAAAATAAATATATATTTAAAGTGGGCGTGACTCTGTCCCTAATATGTTTAATCTATATATCTCAACAATCTATATCTCGGATGATAACCCCGTCCAATCCCTATATAAGTGTTTTGTTAAAAACTACTAAAATTACGATCACGAAGTGCGTCAGAGACATTAAATTTTGCATCCAGGAGGACACAAAATGACCTAATTGAAGCAAGTGTTAAAATTGGACAATGGGCATGGTACCGCCAACATTTAGGTTATACCACATATTTCTGAACCTACTCTAGCAATTTCCACCAAATCTTACCATCTTACAGTGCGAAAACTGGCGGAATTTGACAGTAACCACTCGTACTTCCTATATAAAACAATTTCAAATTCCATCCGATTTTTTCACTTTCCACTATACAAATCAAGCACTAAATGTATCGGTATAAAAATTTGCACGAATATTTCTTTTAAGGTATGCCATCTCAGGTCTAAAAATGTTCCAAACGGAGCAATATTGAAGCCCTCAGATACTGGAAATGTGAACTCCAGGGCCTATGGCTGACTTTATGCCGAAAATATCGGTCAATCCGTGATATACAAAACAAACAGTAATAACTTTTTTTCTGTGTGAGTAATCGACTTAATTGTTTTTTTCTTTAGCAGGTTATTATTTAGGTTTTTAAAAATGAATCCTTGGGATACCGGACAAAAAGCGTTTGGATAGTGCAGCGGTACTATGCAAACATGTTTTCTGAATCTGGAAGTATTGCAAGAAGTGTATTCAATTCAGGCAAAAAATTATTGAAATGGCCGAAGAAGACTATAACTTGATACATTGTTTGTTTATGTCTGGTGAGGCCCATTTGGATTTAAACGGAAATGTAAACGAGCAAAATTGCCTTATATGGAGAGAATCAAATCTAGAAATAATCATGCTTGCTAAATCTGGAAGTATCGTAAGAAGATCGTTCTATCTAAATCCGTATGTTCGTATTCAAGAAACAATGGCGGATGTTGCATCGTCAATTCAGGCAAATCCAAGAGTTTCCACTTGCAACTTGGAGTTAGCAGACGGTCATTACAACGAATAATGTATGATGACTTAAGCCTGTTTCCGTACAAAGTTCAAATAACAAGCTGTTTGAACTCTCTACATTCGCCTATTCGTCTGGAATTCTGCCAAAAAATTATTGAAATGGCCGAAGAAGACTATAACTTGACACACTGTCGTCTAAAAATAAAATTTGCTTAACAGCAAAAAATAATAAATGTAATGCATTGATTAAGAAAAAGTTATTAGGGTTTGTTTTTGTAGCACGATTCGTGAGCCACCCTGTATTTAATTCAGCTTCTTCAGTTGAGTGTATATCCCATATATATCTTTTTAAGAAGATCTTAATGCAATTTTTTAAAATACAAATTTGACTGTAACCCATTGACGATTTTGTCGAATAATGAATGTTGAATTGTTTCGCAAAAGTTTTATTTATGGAGTTTTCAAAAACCTGAGGGTATTTTCTTTGCTTTTATCCTTGCAAGAGCATAAAATGTTTGGTTTCACCCGAACTTAGAACTTCCTTACCTGTTTTTTTTATTATCGTTTTCCTAATTTATCAAAAAAAGTATTTTTTTTTTCATAAATCGGATGCAAGTAAATAAAAATTAATTTGATATAAAATATAATAACGTAAATATGTACATTACTTTTCAATTTCATTACATAATTTTTCCTTTTCAAATATTTTCATATTCTGCCAACATAAGAAGTTGGCAAAATTATATTTATTGAATTTATTAGAATACATAATTTACATTATAAATGACCTTACCGGCACTAAATTGGCTTATACATTTGATTTATTACAGGTATCATAACAACAAAATGGTTAACTATGATGAACAAGAGGGGTTTTCTGTTACTTCGACTGCAGTGGTGGATACCGCTATACCAAGAGGAACTCAAAATTCAGAAAACTCTTTAATTCTATCGAATAAAAAACTTAACAGTGAACGGAGTGAAAGCAAGGACAAAGAACATATTACTAACAAAACAAAGATGTCTAAGTCTCAGCTATTTCCATATTTATTATCACCTACATCCAGCATATTGAATTTAGAGGTAGTAAATTTTCATCATGCAGGTAACTATACTTGTGCTCCTTCAAATGCCAGAGCAGTAAGTATTACTGTGCACGTTCTACGAGGTAAGCAAATTCAAAATCACTTAACATACATATGTATATACTTGTATTACATATTCATAGTTTTTATTTATACTTACACCCCTATTCTGTGCACTTGACAAATTCAACATCGTACTGATTTATCAAGATAGACCATCTTATACCATGTTCCGACCGACCCTTAATCATTAGATTTAGGCTGTTGAGTGGTTTATCTCACTAATCCTCTGGATTTAGCAAAATAAAAACATACAAAAATTACACTTGTTAATCATCTCACCGAGGTGATTTGAAACTAATCAACATGAAATCTCCGTATGTAACTCTGATTTATATGCTCTGATATCGCCATCGGTTTGTCAGTAGTTAAATTATCAAGCTGATTTTAGCACTATGAACTGTCAAAGTGAAAAAACTTAAAAATAAACGTGCAACAACCAATTTAGCTTTAAAAAAAAAACAAGCAAAAATGGAAGGTGGTGCTACCGGAATTTTAAATAAAAAAGGAGAGTAATGTGGGACGAGACTGCCGAAGTCGATTTGCCGCAGTTGTGGCAAGAAAAAATACCACAACTTCGGCCGACCAGGAAGAACAGCCACTTCTACAAGAAGATGGCGAGACAAATGAGAACAGCGGGCCACAATTATACGGCCACAGAAATAAAAATCAAATTACACAACTTTACAAATAAATACAGGTGGGTTAAAAGTTAAATATTATTTTTAAGTATAAATTGTATATTTTTAGGCAGGCCCCTCGCCTTCGACATGGAAGCACTAAGCTGTGGTCCACCAAGCGGTATTCGGTTATACCCGCCGCGGTTGTCGAGGACAGCATTATAAGTGGCTAAATGAGCCTACGTCGTCCGAAAACATACACACCAACACACCTAACATAATCTACACATCAACTAACACAATTTACATCACACATCCGAAACATTCACCACATCACCTCTCGCAACATTCACCACCTCACCTTACGCAACATACACCTCACATAACGACACTACTACCCAGGATATCCAACACACCGGCCGATCACCCCTCCAACCATCAACAAAACCAAAACACTGGAAGCGGCTGCCGCTCTTTTGCGTATCAAGTTCGAAGCAGACACCTCGTCATCGTGAAGATTCCCGCCGCGTATCAGTTTCGAAGCAGACACCTCGTCAACGTGAAGATTCCCGCCTATTTTTTAAGCACATTTTATTATTATACACTTAGTGAGTGGTGAGTCAATAATTCCAAAAGGTTGGAATTAACTATGGTCCTTCGAGCCCTAGTGGACGGCACTATGGGTGTTTAACAAAAAAAAAAAATATATATATATATATATATATTGAACGTTCATAACGTGAACAAAACGCAAAGTGCAGTGGGATAGTGAAAACAAAAAGATATCTACAGAGACGAACAATTGCAGTCAGTGTTTACAAAAAAAAAAAAAAAAATAAGAGGAAAAACAAAAAACATACAAAGTGCGGTGAAGTGTATTAAACACATATATACAGAAAGTTATATATATACACATATACACGGTGTTTTCCTTGAGAAAAAATAAAAAACCCTTATGTGCATATTAACAACAAAAAATAAGTGGCTAAAAATTGGTGTGACAAAACCCAAAAAAAAAAGAGATAAAAGCTTAAATTACATTTTAAATAACATTTAAATAACAACAATAAAAACAAAACGGGTGCGAAAATAATCCCACCGGGCGCGATCCTAACAACAAATTTAATATCATATACAAATATACATTCGGGCGCGGAGTAACAAAAAACACCACAAAAAGCAACACCTAGCACGCAAAATCAGAAACAACAGAGGACAAAGGAATTGGAAAGAAACACAGAAGAACACATAGACGTACATACACGTAACTATTGTATACAAGTATACACGCAATACATATATTCCCCAAAAGCCCTTGGAGGAAATCAAAGTGAGTCCATTCGATTCCTTTTCTTATATTTATGCACATACATATGTATATTCATTGCGAATTACAGTTTATATTTTGTACAAAAAACTGTAATAAAACATTAAAAAACCGTTCAATATCTTGGTAACGGGTGCCAATTTGGTCTAACTTACCGGTTTTAAATTGCGGGTTAAAATAACGAAAAACCGTTTATTGTATTATATATGTACATTCATACACATACATATATACGACAGACATATATGTATATAATATATAATAATTGACTACCTGCTTACCTTCGTGTATTAAAACACAATATACAAAAACAAAAAAAATCCCAAATTTAAGTATTTCAATACTTACAAATTTTTCCGGCAATACCCCTTACGCTTAATTAAGCAGTAAGCAGGATTGCGAAATATATGTGAGCAAAGGAAAAGTCAAACTTAAAGCATAAAAGGCAAAATAAATATACATACATATATACAATAAACGAAGTTAAAGGAAAAAAAAGAAAAAAAAAACAAGTAAGGAAGGGCTAAGTTCGGATGTAACCGAACATTTTATACTCTCGCAAAGTCAAATGGTATACTCGTTTGAGATTTCTTTGTGGATTGACTGATATTTTCGGTAGAAGGTCAACTATAGGCAATGGGGTCCATATATTTAGTACTTAGGGGTTTCAACAGTTTTGGTTCGATTTAGACAATTTTTGGCCGCAAGGTGGCATACTTTAATTGCATTATTCACGCAAAGTTTTACCCCGATATAATCATTGTTACCTGATTTGCATAGTGGAAAGTGAAAGAATCAGATGGAATTGAAAATGGTGTTACATGGGAAGTAAGCGTGGTTGTAATCCGATTTCGCCCATTTTCGCACTATGACATAGAAACATGAAAAGAACGTTATGCACCGAATTTGGTTGAAATCGGTTGAGCAGATCTCAAGATATGGGTTTTCACCTAAAAGTGGGCTATGCCACGCCCACTGTCTAATTTTGAACGCGGTTCCTATAAAGTCATCTCATACCATCCCAGAGATAAAATTTGGTCCGATTACGCCCATCTGCAACACCAATCGTCTTACGGTATCAAGAAACATGTCTACCAAGTTTCATAAAGATATCTCAATTTTTACTCAAGTTAGAGCTTGCACGGACGGACGGACGGACGGACGGACAGACAGACGGACGGACAGACAGTCACCCGGATTTCAACTCGTCTCTTCATCCTGATCATTTATATATACATAACCCTATATCTAACTCGATTAGTTTTAGGTGATACAAACAACCGTTAGGCGAACAAAACTATTATACTCTGTAGCAACACGTTGCGAGAGTATAAAAATAAATACGAACCGGTATCTATTACATCTAAATCCGGGTATTTCAGTTATTTATTTTAAATTAAAAACTTTAATTACCAAAAAAAAATTTTTTACGGTTGTACATATATACGAAAATTAATCTTAATTTTGTTCAAAGTGGAAAACTCTATTCACTAAAAAGAGCTTTCGGTCACACATTTCTATATACGAAAAAATTTCCTGAATTATCCATCAGTCGACACTGAGGAATTTTTAATTTATTTTATACAATTTTTAAATGAGCTCAGACTCAAAAGAATCAAAAACATCTCAATTGTTAAAAGTACCAAAGATGATTTCAGATGATAAAAGTCCATGTACACCTGCAGAAGCTACACGCTCAAAGCAAGGTGCTACAAAGCAAAAGAGGGGTAAAGACATTTCTTACACTAAATTCATTTCGGAAAGTGACAGTTTAATAAGATACTGCACTAGATTCTCATCTTCGCCGATTCAGGAATATTCTGAATCGGTATTAGAAATCAAAAAAGACAATCTTGACAATTTTTGGACAGGTCTCCAAGCTGCGTATGACGCAATCGTAGAATCTGACGACTCAGATTTACCAGAAAATTTCAAATCTTCGGCTTACGCCAAATACGAAAACTGGTTAGACCAGTTCGAAGAAACTAAAGCAATGATTTTCGATCAACTTAAGCTAATAAAAACAATTGCACCTATTCCACATCAGCGAGTAGATCTGCCACAAGTACAAAGTCATGAGGCAAGTTCAGGCATCCATCTCAAGGTGCCCACATGTGATACAGAAATATTTCATGGTGGTTATGAACAATGGCCGTCCTTCCGAAACATGTTTACTGCCGTTTGCATAAACCATCCAAAATTAACAAATGCACAAAAATTGTATCACCTCCGATACAAAACAAAAGGTCAAGCAGGCGTAATAGTAAAACAGTTCGCACTAAATGACGATAATTTCAATATGGCTTGGGAAGCTCTTAAATCAAGATTCGAAAACGAAAAAATATTGGTCGATAAGCAAATATCGATATTAATGAACTTGCCAAAAATTCAAAAGGAAACAAGTGAAGAATTTATCAAACTTCAATCCACTGTTTCAAATTGTTTGTCGGTTTTATCGACACAAAATATTCCCACTGACAGCTTGTATCCAATAGTGGGAATATGTAAACATATGCACTACCACATTACCAGAAAAATCATTACTTCTATGGGAGCAATCGCTCTCATCACGAAGAAAATGCCCCACGTGGCAACAAATGAAAGATTTCCTAACTACCCAGTACGAAATCGCAGAAAGGGTAGATAAAAAAATGGTCAGGACGAAAACTGTTTAACACGACCTAAATAGAAGCTTCCACAGACCCCAAGCCAGTAGCAACAACAATTTAAATAGAAGCTTCTTCAGAAATCAAACGTTCACATCCGAACAGTACAAACAAACGTCATGCGAACTATGTACAGGAGGGCATAAGCTCAAATCTTGCGAGAGATTCAAAAAATTGAATATTATCGACCGAAACAATTTTGTAAAAACAAAAAGACTTTGTACAAATTGCCTATCACATGCACATATACTTAAAGAGTGCGAAAGCAAATTTAATTGTGTTTATTGTCATAAACGACATCATTCTATGCTTCATTATAACACATTTTCCAGCTCACCCCCAAACAGCGCAAATATGAAAAGAGCGACGGGTTTAGTTGCAACAGCAAATCCCGAAGTGCGAAATCCCGATAATTGTCAAGAAGCACCATGCTGCTCAAAGGCATTAAAAACCCAAACGCTACACAGCGAAAATCAAAGTAGAGTACTACTACCAACAGCAGTCGTCTCCATCGATCACCGAGGAGAACTGTTTAAACTCTGGGCCTTAATAGACCGAGGATCACAACGATCTTTCATAGCGTCTAGAACTCAAAATAGGCTACAATTGCCAACAAAACTAGCCAATTTTGAAATCACGGGAATGGGCGGAAGAGTAGTCCCAAACTCAAATAAAATCTGCCCCTTTACCTTAATTTACCCCCAAGCGGATAAGCACATACAAGCAGAAACTATAGTCTTACCGCAACTTACAAATTTGCTTCCAAGCTATCACATAAATAGCAAGCATTGGCAAAAGGTTTCACACCTAAAACTAGCAGATCCCAACTGCAACACTCCTGCTCAAGTAGATCTTCTA